TGGGCCTCGTTCTGGTAGGGAAACAGCCACCCCCTAAAAATACTGTAGAAAATAATAGTTGTACATTGTGTTAAGGGCAAGGAGAGATGCCCGCTAGCCATCCTGTCTTACTCGCTGCGCATTCCTAGCGCCCAGTGCAGCGCTGGCTCGGTGTGTGCATTGGTGCCCACGTAGCCCTCAAGGCCCAGCCCACACCTGGCCAGCTGCCCAGGAGAGTCGGCCCCAACCCACAGTCAGAGTGCTCCCACCCCAGCAGGGTTCCTCTCAGCCCTGGAGACCATGCAGAGACCCCCTGGGAGGGCTGTAAAGATGCACCTTCCCGGCCTCAGCCCTGCCCGAATCAGGTTCTCTCGGGAACGAGGAACCTGGGAATCCGAACTCTAAAGGGTAGTGTCAGGTAATTCTTTTGCCCACGTGTTTCTGCAGGGCTAGTTTCAAAGGTCTTTGCAAACATGGGTCCGCTCAGCTGCTTGTGCGGAACCTGGTCAGCAATCCTGGAGGATGAGCAGGGGGGAGGCAAGGAGGAGCAGGGCGGCAGGAGGAAGGGGAGGCGGAGGCAGGGCGGCGGAGGAGGTGTGGGGCAGGGATACAGGCGCAGGCAGTGAGGACAGCCTCCCAAGAAAGGCCGGTGTGGGGGGGCTAGGCCTGGTGGGGAGCTTCTGGGCCTGGGCACAGACTGGTGAGGCCGAGGAAAGCAGGCTGGAGCTGCAGGGAGACAGGGCTATGATTAGCTGTGACCCCTGGCAGGTCACCACCTCTGAAGTGTCACTTCCTCCCCTGTGAAATACCAGGATGGGGTTGCTACGAGAAACATTGCCCACTAGGAGCAGTGGGCCCGGCACCCCGTGCTTTTAAGCCCATTTGGATGCCCACTTGCCAGGAGATGAGAAACGCCGCATTCGCCCCCATTTGATGACAAGAACAGCTTCCTGGTGCCACTGCAACTCATCGTGAGTCTCCCTGCCCCTCCTAGGCTGTGGGCCTTCTTCCAGGCACTGCCTCTCTGGGTCAGTTTCCTCTTTTGAAAAGGGAGGTGGTAACAGTATGCACCTCGGAGCCTTGCTCTGAGGGTCAGCCAGTTAGTAGATGCAATGCTGTGTGTGCCCACTGAGCACTGGCTGTCTCCAGCTGTGTGCCAGGTGTGGTGCCCAGTGCTTCTGACCAGTGGTCTTCTTGAACCATCCCAGTGGGGTGGCCTTGTAGTGTAGGAGATGAAACTGAGGCTCGGAGAAGCTGACACCCTAAATGCAGGTGAGTCGGGTGTGGGCTCACTTTCCTAGCCACCTCTGAGCAATGCCCACACAGCCAGGAACTGGGGAGGCACTGGGCTAACCAAGGTGATGCTCAGAAGCTTCCCAGCTATTGTAAAAGGAGGGGGAGGGGGACAGGGTGGAGGCTACTAAACAGGCTGCAGCCACCAGGGGGCCCTGTGGAGAGACTGCCCTGGGCTCAGCACCCACATGCTCAGCTCCTGGGACCCAGGAAACGGGGCGCTGGCCACCAAAGTAAAGGTTTGGGGGTCTCTCTGGCCCCCAGCTCAGACCTAAAAGGCTACTTTGGGTGTGAAAACTTCGGCAGAGGTTACCAAAGGTAAATAAATAACCTAGGAGACAGAGCAAGCTGTCAGCACAGGCCACCCAAACTGGACACTGACTTGAAATTGATTCTGCCGGTTCCCGCAGCCTCGGTTTCCCCATCTGTAAAGTGAGGATGAGAGCAGTTCCCAAGGCATAAAGGTGTAGGAGGGTTTAGTGTGGGGCCTGCACACGTAATCACGGAACAACGCAGATCTTCTGCCTGTTTCCTACCTCTGTTTTCGGGTAAGCCTCTTCTCAGGTCAGCCAGGAGGTTGGCCTGCAGATGGCAGGAGTCATAAGCCAAATATTTGAGAACCTATTGTATACAAGGCACTGGGCCCGGGGACAGAGGACACATCAGGAAGACAAAGTCACAGCTCCACCCTGAAACACTGTGTCTGACAGTTACAATACACATTCCTAGTTTAAAGGCTCTGAGAAGTCCCGCAGTACGTGTACCTGTCTCACTTTCTTTAACCCGGTATTTCCTGAGTAGATTGCATCACAGTGACCTTTTGGGGTTTGAGGCTTGATGAGGCCTTCAGTGGTTCACCAGCATTTCCAGGTCTTCCTCTTTGGGGCAAAGGACAGACTCATGTTTCCCCGCCCCCATCCACATGACTCTTGGTCCACAAGCTGTGAGCTGAAGGGAACCCTTTAAGCTCTGTGGACAGAAGGGGCCACATGCCCACCTGACAGCTCAGGGGAGGCCTGCATGGTAGCCTTGCAGACTCAGATCTAAAGTCACTACAAAGGATGGTCTGAAATTAAACTTTTACTAAAAGCAGTGATGGTGGGTAGGCACCTCCTAGGCTAGTATCTTCACTGACAAGGTCAACCTTTACCTTCACTGAGCCTGTCTGTCTTTTTGTCTCAATGATAACATACCCTTGAAATGTCTGGGTAACTTGTAACTTCCCTTTCTTTTTCTGGACCCCTTGGGGCACAGCCTGATGTGCTGGGCTCCCAGACAGAGACCACCAATTCCTTCATTATCATGTTAATTGTTCCTGCACCCACCTAAGTATGTGTCCATCATTTTACTTTTTATCCAATCCCGGGGGTTTCCCTGCTTTGTTTTCTTCGGCCTCTCCAGTCTATCACCAATGGATTTAATGTAACCACCTACGTCCCTCCTTTGATTGCAAAGTATAAATACAGATGTAACCCCATTCTCCGGAGCACTATCTCAATTCATTGAGGTTCTGCTTCCTGGCATATGTCGACAGTTTGGCTCAAATAAACTCACAAAAATTTTTTACAGGTTTCAGTGGTTCTTTACGTCAACAGCACCAAATCATCCCTCCCTCCCCACCATGGCTCCAAAGGGTGGGGCAGCTTCAGGCTGGATCATCAAGACTGAGCACGTAGAGTGAGAAGTGGTCTCTTTGGGGGCTCTTGTTGAATGTAGGTACCCCAGCCTGTCCTAACTGATCACAGTGACATCTGCCAGCACCCCAGAACTCCGTGTGTGAAGTGCCGGTCGATCGGACCCATCGGCAGCAGGGACGCAGTGTGGGGGCTGCACTGGTTCCCGGGAGAAAATCCGTCTCGTGGCCACAAGGGAGGCTGAGCTCCTGGATCAGGACTTGGAAGCTGAGGCGCAGGGAGCTGAGCTCTGTCCTGTGGGCGCGTTAGGATGCGGCCAAGGGATGGCCAGGTGGAGCGGCCAGGGGGTAGGTGGGCAGCGGGCTCCTCCCTCACCTGCGCCAAGAACTCGGAAGACAAGGCCTGCTCACTCCAAGCCTCCCCCTCCTCCCCCCAGGATCAGCTTTGGGGAAGAGTCCGGCCCCGGGGCATCTGGGAAGCGCAGCCAAGGGAGAGCACTGTAAGTGCCACATTTATTATGAGCTCTTTTCTGACCAAAGGAATACATGTTCACACAGAAATTTGGAAAACACATAAAAGCACAACAAAGAGTTACAGATAATGGCAGAATCCTAGCCATTGGCAGTATGGGGTATGTGCCCTTCCGGTCTTCTTTCACACACACGTGCCTGCCAAGTTACCACACTGTCCTTAACGAGACTGGCCCAGGCTCTGCGCCAGGTTTTGCCATCTGTGTGCCAATAAGACCGCTGTTCCCGGGCATTACCCAAACCAGCGGTCCGCGGGCCACCGGTTGGGACCGCTGAACTGGACTACGTGTGGACGATGCCTGACGGAGAGCTCCAGAGCCTGCGTGTGCCCCAGAGAGGGAGGGAGGGCTGTCTGACAGGTAGGAGGGACTGGAGATGCTTTCATCTGCAGGTGAGACACCCTACCGAGCTGCAGGCTGGGGGAGAGTGGCAGCTAAGGCCCAGGCCGGGGATCCTTGGCCATTTCTCAGTGAGCACTGCACTTCCTTGTCTTCGAGCTCATTTTTAAAAATGTATAAAACATGCTCATTGTAAGAAGGTCGAGTGATTTTTAAAAAGTGGAAAGAAAATAAGTTCCGTGTAATTTTATCAGCCATTGAACATATTTATTTCCTGATGACGATCACAAGACTCATGCGTGTACCGTCTATCAGAAAACACATGGTCACTGTAAAATACTGTTAGTGTTAGAGCCACTTGGGAAATGAGGCGGGAGGTGTCAGGGGGGTTACAGGAGTCCAAGTGGTGGCAGGCGTGGCCTCCCCACCTCCCTCCAGCTCAGCAAGGGGCAGAGCTTTGTCCTGCAGCCCTGGTGGCCAGGAGTCTACCACTCACCAGCCCCCAGACACAGGAGCCAGCAGGGAGGCCCGGGATGTGTGTGTGTGTGGGGGGGGTCCCTGTGCTGGGTAACGACCCTGTGTCATCACAAGTCGCCCCTGCTCCTAGTTCACAGCTCATCACAGCTCGAGAGAATGGGGCGCGCACAGCAGTGGCCCCGGAGCGCCTCCGTGTTAAAGGATGTGCCTGTGAGAAGTGTCCTGTCTGGACTTGCTGGTTCTCCCCTCCGGGACACTTACCAAAGTGGGGGAGAGGTGCCACCCTGTCCCAGCGCCTGGGCTGGACCTAAGCACTGATTCTCTGTAATGTCTGCATGTGTTGGAGCAATAGACACCCACGTTTCCCTGGAGGGCAGTGCCACGTGCCTGCCAGCAAGTTCCCCCCTGGGAGAAAGGAGCTCCCTGTCCCCTCTCACTAAGGCTGGGGGTGGGGAGGGGAGCGGAGAAGAAAGGAAAGCAAGCTAGAG